GTGCCCACGCTCCAGCGCATCCACCAACGTGTCGCCCTGGGGGCCTCTCCAGGCGTGCGTGGCGGGAGGCTGTGCAGCTAGCGGTGCGCAGTGGCATGCGAAGCTGACAAGATCGCCATCATGGCGTACGGTGGCGCCCCTAACGGTCCTTTTCTGCACTGTTTGGGCGACTCAGACGGGCATTTAATGCCCTTGTCCCCTGCCGTCAGGGTTAGGTAGGGTGCACTGTACAAGTAACTGTACCAACCACCTCACTTTTTACATTTGTACCCTTCTCTGCGTTCCCACCTGTCGGTGGCCCCTTTAGCGTATAAAAGGAGGCCCATGCGCAACGTAGAAGAGGTTCGGTTCGGAGGTTCGCGTGGTTCGACTAGTTCAGAACCCAGAAAAACACTACGCTCTCTCTCTCTGGAGCAAGAACACAAGATAATCAAACAAGCAGCAGTAGGAGTGTTATCTCTCCGGAGAGCTCTGAAGCTGGGTAAACTGCTTGTGTGCTTCGCCTCGATCTGCTCTTCGTGCGATCTCCGCCCCCGCCGAACCGAAAGGGGCCCGGTCCGCCGGCCCCATAGGTGTTCGTGGATCAGCTTCCCCGACACACACACATCACAAAAATACATGGGTTGCACCTCTGGAAAGATGGCAAAGCATATAACAAAACTCATGAAGAGGTCAGGGGCATATCATGCACACATTAATCATGGCAAAAATGACAAATATCTAATTGGAGCAGCAAATCTGACAATTAACTCAAGTAGCATTCTTCCAACAGCATTTCGGGCATCAAGATGAACTCAAATGAAAATGACGCAATGAGATGAAATGTTGTACTCTCTGAGGTGAACATTTGGATATGCTACACGCACAAAACGGAGCTACGGATGCAAAGTTACGACATGATGAACATGGGCATATGAAACATGGAAAACTCGGGGACTTAGTGAAATTTTACCTCCACCAAAAGTCAATGGGACGAAGCGGTGCGGGATGACAAGATACAGGCGCGGGGCCGGAGCGTTTGGTTCGGGGACCTGGTGGATCTCATCCACCCAGCTTCCCGGACCAGATCTGAAGCGGACTCCGGCGATGGCCGGTTCTGGCGACGGTCGGCGACGGCTCCGATGAGCAGCACGGGCTCCGGTGGAGAGGCACGGTGAGCGGCGCGTCGGTGGCATCGGGCGGCGCTACGCCGGCGACGAGGCGGCGGGGCCGGCGACCGGCGAGGCGGCGGGGAGAGCGGGGCCGGCTCGGGCGGCGCGAACGGCGAGGGAGCTGCCGACGGCAGGGATGGCAGCGAAGGCGGCGAAAGAGGCGGGCGGCGGCGCCTGTCAGGTGCGGTGGCGGTTTGGACCGCGCGGGCCGGATCTAGGCCGCGCGGGTCAGCGGTGGCGGAGGAGAGAGGAGGTCCGGCGGGAGGCGACGTGGCGCGTTTTGGTTGGCTGCGGAGGCGGGAGAGGGTGACGTGGCGGCATGCTATTGGCCGGAGTGAGGTGGCTGCACGGCGGCGGACGCGTTCGGCGCGGTGAGGACGCGTCCGGCGGCGCGAGGGGAGGAATTTTTAGGGTTCATCCACGAATTTCGGGAGGGGAGCACATATTTATAGGTAGAGGGAGCTAGGAGGGTCCAAATGAGGTGTGGTTTTCGGCCACGCGATCGTGATCGAACCACCGAGATAATGGAGGAGGTTTAGGTGGGTTTTGGGCCACTTTGGAGGGGTGTTGGGCTGCAACACACACGAGGCCTTCTCGGTCCCTCGGTTAACCGTTGGAGCATCAAACGAAGTCCAAATGGTACGAAACTTGACAGGCGGTCTACCGGTAGTAAACCAAGGCCGCTTGGCAAGTCTTGGTCCAATCTGGAAATGTTTAACCCCCACACATGAAAAGAAGGTAGAAATGACCACCAGAGGAGATAGGAGCGCCGGATTATAAAACGGACAACGGGAAAAAATGCTCGGATGCATGAGACGAACATGTATGCAAATGAAATGCACATGATGACATGATATGCAATGCATGACACGCAAGCAATGACAATGCAACAACAGCGAGTAACTGGACGACACCTGGCACATCGGTCTCGGGGCGTTACATATGGCGAGTGAGTATCTCTCATTATTTTTTCCTCTTCCTTTTCTTCTATTGTTTGTAACTGCTAGATAAATATGGCCTAAACTATTCCTTTTTATACAACTTGAACTGCTATGAATGCCTTATCTTGCTTCTCCTTCTTTTTGTTCTTGTGTGTGCTGCAGGAATACATTCTCACTGATACCTCAGCCTGATGGAAACATAACTAACTTCACTAGGAATCGCATCTGGGAAGTTTTTTCACCTAGGCAAATGATGGAGGGTGATGTAATTGACTTCCTCATTGATGATTGGAAGCAAGATCCCGATAGAAATGCTGATTTCGCATCTGGGAAAAGGATATTGCTGAGTCCATATTTCATCACAGTAATCAATCAGATCAGTTTCTTTATGTTGAACAAGACTGTCTATTGTTTTTACGATTTTTAATAATACTTTGCTTGTTGATTCTTTTTCCGCTGTCTATTTTCTATTTTGGCTTTTTTGCAGGTTGTGCTTGACTGTTCGTTTTACGAGGATGAAAATAAAGTGTTTAATGTGGAGAGTGCAGCGAGAGATTTCAAGAGCTATGTTAAAGCTAATGAAGACTTGCTCAGTGCCGACCTTGTGAGATCTACTAGCTGATTTTTGGTTTTTATTTGTTCGTTGTGATGCTGGTTTTTACTTTGAATATTTAACATCTCTTTTTTGGTCATTTTGTTTTAGATCATGATGCCTCTATTCAAGCCTATGGTTTTATCGAAGGATAGGAAAGTGAGCCACTATTCCTTATATGTCATGAATCGGTACCGTAGTAGCGTTGACATCCTTGACTTTTTACCTTATCTGAAGAACCACCATCCTTCGAAGAACACCTATCACAAAGACTGCGAGAAGATTGTGAGTGACATTTATTATCTGTACTAGATTAATATTTCTGCATCTTTGTTTCTGATGTTTTTGAGACCTAAAACTGTGTGGGTTGTTTTGTTTTTTTACAGATTTCTAGATTGGTCAAAGTAATGAAGGATGTGTATGGTGATGCTCAGTACAATGCGAGCAAGCAGCCCAATTGGGAGCTGTTTGCAAAGAAACCAACGTTTGTCAAGGTTCCACTTCAAGGGCTGAATGAATGTGGCCATTATACTCTGAAGTATGCGGGATGCTATGATGGTGAAAAGATCGTTGAGAACATTCGAGATAATGACGTGGGTTTCTTGTTGAGCTTTTCACTTTCTGTTTTTGGCTTATTGTGCATCCTTTTTTATGTGTCATGATTTTTGATAATTTGTTTTATTGTTTTGCAGCCACGCATTGTTGATTGGAACGCTGAGGATCTGTATAGAGTTGTGTTCAACCGTAATAACCATCTTATGGTGACGGAGCTTCCCAAGGAGGTTCAGGCTTTGGCTCCTGATGCATAGGATAAATGGTCATCATTTGCATAGTGAATTGGATAGTTGTGTGATATATCTCTTGAAAACATTGTAGGCTCTATTTTGTAGTGTTTGATGTCTTGTCGAGTACTATGTAATAACTAGTATATTTTGTGTTGTGTTTTAAGTGTGGCACAATGTTTCATCGGGAATTCATTTTGGTTAAGTTTTTTTTGTACTGAAGACTTATATAGTAGTTGAACTGAAAACAATTTATTTTACAAGTGTATTTTTTAGTTGTTGCTCAAAAAGTGAGATTTATTTTATTTTTATGTGATTCCATCCTAACTTGGACCTTTATAGTTTTGTACTCTCGTTTTCTTGTACTTATGATATAGTTCTGTTAGTACTGATTTAAAGTCTCATTCAGCGTAAGGCTTTCAAAATTTTAGTGCCAAATTTCTTTTTGAACTTCTTGAACTTTAGTAGTTGAACTTCATAGTAAGAGTTAAAGTACTGGTTTAAATTAGCTACGTTTAAGAGATATTCCTATTAAGTTCAAAACTATTTCTTTCTCAATGCATTAATCGGTATCATCATAGCACTTACCGAATAAACTTAGTTGTACTGAGATTCCAATTGTGCTAGTAGTTTTGATTAATTATTTATTGTTTGTGTTGTTTGATGCTAGTATGTCTTCTGTTGTCTTTCTTGTGATTTTTCTCTTTTGTCTAACTTACATTTTTTTGATTTAGTTTTTGGCCTTCTTTTTTCTAGGCTGTGGTTCTTCTCCAGACAATGTTTGGTATAATCCTAGCACTTGCTGTGTAGACTAAGTTGTACTGAGATTTCAGTTGTATTGCCACTGTTAATTCTTAGTATGTCACAGTTTTAAGGAATGCGAACTGAAGCTTCCCGTTCCTTTTTATATATTTTTACAATGAACGTACCGTGTGTTCAACTGTACCAGAACTTTTCAGTCCTAGGATGCTAGTGACTAGGAAATACGTACTGGTGTTTCTTTGCTTTTCGTGATGCAGTACTTAGTGAATTTCTAACTACTTTTTACCACGATGCTTTTTAGTACTGAATGTTGTCCTCGGCTGAAACTTAGTCTTTTTAGTGTTCGTCTGAAACTAAAAACTAATTTTTTTAGCGTGATAGTACTACCGTTCATGTCTAAGCTGTACTGAGCGTCGAAGGCTACTATTTGCTTTTGTCCTTAGTTAGTCTGCCACTTTTTTTTGTTTTTGCGAAAATATTCATGTGTTATTTTTTTTCTCCATGACTAGTGCTGCGTGGAAGCCATCAAGTTTCAACTTCAACCTACTTCAACTTCAAATGATGGATGAACAAAATAGGAAGCTAGCAAACTTGTTGGACGACATAAGAAAACGATGTACTTGATAGACATAGGCAAACTTGTTCAAACCCTGACACACATCGCATAAGGTAGCTGGTTCAACATAACGAAAGCAAACTACAAATCTGAAACAACAATACTAAGGACACACACAGCATAAGGTAGCTGGTTCAACATAACAAATGCAGACTTTCATGCATCTTCATCCGCGAAGTTGCAGTGGTAGTAGGGGTCAGCCTCCTGCTCTTTTGAAATATCCCAACCTGTCACGATGTTGTCAATTGTCTTCCATGACTTGTACGTTGCGTACGCATCTATTCCTGCGTACGTGATGAGGTTGTCTGGCAGCAGGCTGTTCTCCCATAGTTTGTGGTCTGCCCTGTTCATCTTCTTCTTCATGCCTTCGTAGAATGGGTGGATGACGCCGCCTGCAACATCGGCCAAGGAGTCGTAGTATTTTCTGGTCTTTGGATCTTTCCACTTGCGCTGCATGTCGATGAAGTTGTTGGGGTTGATTTCCAAACCAGACTCCTGCAGCATCCGCTTGTCACCTCCAATGCTGAAACCAACAAATGTGTACAATTTCTCCTCCCGCAGGAAGTCTTTGAGGCGCTTGCGCCTACAAGGGGGGAGACACACATTTATAGATTAGTCTTCTTTTTTGAGGATTTAATTCTTCTGCGGTTTTTGTTTTACAAGTGATAATCCATGAGGGAGATGCTTATATATTATGAGTCATGCATGAATGTAGTTTAGAAACTAGTACACAAAGTCCTGAAATTAAATTCAACTACACCGTGTTATTTTTTCTTTTTTGCTATCTTCTTTGCTTTACCAAATGCTTCACCAAATTAGAGAATCATTTTACCGGAGTCAATGATAGATGTGCTGCTTGATTCAAGTTTAGTTTTCTTTTTTGTTGAATAAAAGACCTATACCAGTGCTTGATACATCTTTGTGCATTAATTCTATATCAAGTTCAAAAAATAGTTTGAGAAACATGTGCATCAAGATATGGACCTATACCACTTCACCAAAGATCTTTTAATACATCAATTCTATAAACTATACTAGTGCATCAAGATCAGAATCTATGCTAGTTCATCAAGTTTAGAAATTAATTTGGTGCATAAAGTTCAGAATGCTATAAACTTTTTTTCAGATGCTAATCTGGTGAAACAATCCACTTCACAGTTTCAGAAATGCATTTAACTTGATAAACATGTAATCGTGTATCCACTTCATAGACTATAGTAGTTCATCTAGTTGGGAAACAATTTTTAATTAAGTTTGTAGTGACTAGTACTGGTACAACAGATGAATGAATAGTAGTATGGGTTACCATTTTGTGGCTGCTGCGATGGGTGGTACACCAAGCAGAGTTCCTCGACGGACAACTGCAGGACTGCCGCCATATGTGGAGGTTTTTCCTCGTCGGTGTACTCCACATCAACTCCGATGAAGCTCGGATACAAGCCTCCGCCCTTCATCCTGAGCCCGCTCATCATCTCGTTGGCCTTGTCTGGTTCGCTGGTGCAGACGATCTCCAGCGTCTCCTTGCCGTGGAGCTCAACCCCTTTGAGCGTTCTGGTGTACTCACGCTTCTTGACGGGGACGTTAATGTTGACGAGGTTGCTCCTCTTGTCCGACGTCTCGGCATGATGACACTTGGCGGACGGTTCCTCCGCCATGGCCTTCCTCCGGCGACTGTGGGCTTTGCAGAGAGCCACTGGAGGTTTGTGTGCAGTGGAAATGGAAGCGGCAATGGTGCTATGTGGGAACGAGGGAGAGATGGAAGACAATGGGGTTTTTTTTGAAGTGCGCCGACGGTGGTGTGTGGGAGGCGGTTTGTCGGGGGCGTGTGTGTAGTGGTCATGGGGGTCGCCGTTTGCACTTCGTCGTCGCAACCGCCCAATGGGTGGCGTGGGTGGTGGCGTGGAAGAACTAACCGTCCAAGTTAAATGGTTTTTACTGTTGAATTGACTAGTCTTGTCAAGCTATACTTATGATCTGCTAAATCCCACTTGCACGTCTCTGTGGTTGTGATGATGGCATTTTGCACTGTTTAGGTGACGTATGGATCTGTGATGTTTTTCCGTGTGGATGTTTAAGTATTGTTTTTCTATTGAAGCCTTTTTATACTAGTGTATGTCAAAACATTTTTTCAGTGCCCTGGGAATTGTTGCTCAAAACTTGTACTTATTTTATTTTCATATGTACAAACCTAAGTTAGGCCTTTATAGTTTTTGTATTCTCATTTTTACTGCACTTATGTTTTAGTACTGTGTGAACTGAATTGTAATTTCAAACAGCGCATGGGTTTGAAATTTGATGTCACAGTGGTGCGAGTGGCCTCACTGATCCTGCTGTTTTAGTACTGATGTTGTATGTATGTTTGAACTAATTTTTTTATAACTTAGGTTGGGGGTGGGGGTTTGAGATTATTTTACGAGCAGATCGTTCGTTGTGGTGTGGAAAGATTATATATAAATAATAAATTTAGCAGAATTGACAAATAAATTCTATTTGAACTTTTTGAATTTTAGTAGTAGAACTTGTCAGTTTTTATATAAATAAGAAATTTAGCATAATTGACAAACATTATATGTTTGAACTTTTAGATTTTTAGTAGTTGAACTTGTCAGTTTTTATATAAATAAGATTTTTAGCATAATTGACAAACATTATATGTTTTGAACTTTTTTAGTTTTAGTAGTTGAACTTTTCAGTTTTTATATAAATAAGAATTTTAGCATAATTGACAAACATTATATGTTTTGAACTTTTTTAGTTTTAGTAGTTGAACTTGAAAGTAATATTTAATTCTGTTTTTTAAATTATGTACATTTAACAGAAAGGCTATTAAGTTTTGTCCTTTTTAGAGGTTCATTGTTTTTGTATCATATTTTTTCCCTTTTTTCTTGTAGAGGTTAATTGACAAACATTTTTCTTGTGGTTTATATTTCTTTGTCCCGCCCTCTGGTTTGTATAGCTGGGCTTATTTGGTGGGGTGTTTTGTTGACGATGTAGAGGCTATTGGGCCGTTTTCCGGCCCAGATAGCTCGTCTGCGCGCCTGTGCAGTGCGTCGTGCGCGTGCGCTCTTGGTTTAGTCCCACCTCGCTAGTCGAGGGGGCTCCGAACCTATTTATAAGCGCAGCCGACGCTCACCAGTCGAACTCCTCTGAACACTTACCTGAGTGCTTATACACGACGCTCACTCTCTCTCTTGACCTGTGGGCCCTGGTCGACTGGTCCTGCATTGTGCGGATTACTAGGGATTCGCCCACGGGCTCGAGTTCAAGTATCTAGCATTGTCAGGGCCTGCTCCTGACCTTGGGCGGTCAATTTTTTGTTTTGTTTGAATCTAGTACTTGACTCCTCCAGTAACTTGGACTCATACTTTTTGTTCTAGTTCTTGTCAGTTTTGTGTGAGTGTAATCTTTTTCATTTGAGTTTTTTGCCTTCTTTTTTGTGTTTTGTTTTTGTGATTATTCTCAAGTGTCTTCTGGTGTCATTTTCAGAACTATGGTACTTGCGTGTAGACTGAGTTGTACTGATAGTGCATTCATAGTAGCGCTTACGGACTGATGCTTCTTTGTACTTTTTATTGTAGTAAGTATGTAATGTCCAATCAAGGGTACTGAGTTGTACTGACATGGAACAACGTTGTGTGATTAGTTGCATCGTAACTAGTACTTTAGAGCAACGACAACGTTCCATTCAGAAGCTACTTTTTCAATTTTGAAATGATGGATTAACAACATATGAAGCTACCAAACCAAACTTATATAATGAGATAAGCAAAACATTGTACTTGATCACATAACTAAACTTGTTCAAACATGACAAGCACGACATAATCATACTGGTTCAACCCAACAAGAGCAAACTACTAATTTGAAACAACAAGATAAAAGGCAAGCATAGGCGGAAGTAAAACGAAGGCAGGCTCTGATGTATCTTCATCTCGTAAAGGGGCAATGGGGGTGGTTGTAGAAGTTGTTAGCCTCCCGCTCTTTCGCAAATCCTGAACCATCTGTGATGTAGTCGATCATGAACCATGACTTATACGCGGCGTACGCATCTACTCCTGCATACTCGATGAGGTTGTCTGGCAGCTCACTTGTCCCCCACAGTTTGTAGTCTTCCTGCCTGTTGATCTTGTTCTTCATGCCTTTGTAGAATGGGTGGATGACGCTGGCTGCAACATCAGTCAAGGAGTCATACTCTTTTCCGCTGTATGGAACTCTCCACTTGCGCTGAATGTCAATGAACTTGTTGGGGTTGATCTCCATACCGGACAACTTCAGCTTCTCTTTGTCGCTTTCAATGCTGAAACCGGCAAATGTGAACAACTTGTCATGCTGCAGCATGTCGGTCAGGTGCTTGGGCCTGCAAGGGCAGAGACATTTTGAATATTAGCATTACTTTGATGTTTGAATTATCCATTTTTGTTTTGTTTTACAAGTGATGAATCCATGAAGTAGTTGTTTATGTAGGATAAACAATGGATGAATGTACTTCGAAAACTAGTAAAGAAAGTTCTGAAATTAAATTAAGTACATCATGTTATTCTTCTTCTTGGATTATACATAGTTTTAGTCAATGTTGTATCTTCCGCATTGGTACTAGTTTAGTCTACTTTTGTTGAAACAGGATAACACAGAACCAGTGCTTCACCAAGTCCTTAGTTTATTTTCTTACGAATATAACATTACATCAAATTCAGAAAATACTTCACTACATCAAGTTCAGAAATATCTTTTTTAATACATCGAGTACATAGACTACTCTATTGTATCAACTCCAGAAACTACACTAGTCGATTAACTTCAGAATTTAATCTTCCGCAAGATTTTCCAAATAGTAATCCAGTGTATCAGGTTCAAAAATACATTTATAGTATATCTACTTGAGAAAATGCAGTAGTGCATCCACTTTTCACAAACCACACTAGTACATCTAGTTGGGAAACAAGTGTGATTAAATTTTCAGGATACAGTACTAATAAAACAGATAAACCATATGCCGGGCAAATGAGTAGGATTGCTCACCATTTTGTGGCCGCTGCAATGTGGTACACCAAGCAGAGTTCGTCGACACACAACTGCAGGACTGCCGCCATCTGGGGAGGTTCATCTTCGTTGGTGTAGTGCACACCAACGCCGATGATCCTACGAATCCTACCGCCAAGCTTCCTCCAGAGCCTGGAGATCACCTCGTCGGCCTTGTCTGGTTCGCTGGTGCAGACGATCTCCAGTGTCTCCTTGCCGTGGAGCTCAACCCCTTTGAGCGTTCTGGTGTAGTCGCGCTTCTCGTCGGGGACGTTAATGTCGACGAGGTTGCTCCTCTTGTCCGACGTCTTGGCATGATGACGCTTGTCGGATGGTTCCTCCGCCATGGAATTCCTCCGGCGATTGTGGGCTTTGGCGCTGGAGGTTTGTGTGCAGTGGAAATGGAAGTGGCAATGGTGGTTTGTGGAAACGAGGGAGAGATGGAAGACAATGGGGTATTTTTTCAGTGCACCGACGGTGGTGTGTGGGAGGCGGTTCGTCGGGGCGTGTGTGTAGTGGTCGTGGGGGTCGCCATTTGCACTTCATCGTGGCAACCGCCTAGTGGGTGGCGTGGGTGGTGGCGTGGAAGAACTAACCGTCCAAGTTAAATGGGTTTTACTGTTGAACTGACTAGTCTTGTCAAGCTGTACTTATGACCTGCAAAACCTCACTTGCACGTCTCTGCGGTGGTGATGATGGCATTTTACTGTGGCACCGATTCGTATAGTCAAGCTGTACTTATCAGCTGCTTATCCCACTTGCATGTGTCAGCGTCGGTGTTGGCGGAGGTCTGAACTCCTCTACTGTCGTACTCGGACTGGTGATTGAAGTGTAATTGAACGTACCAAATACCAGCGATACTATGTGTGGTGCTAATGTTTTTTTAAACCAATTTTCGTATTTTTTAAAGGATTGTTTATATCAAGATAACTTGTGAGTATTTTTTATAGATAAATTAGATTTTCACCAGTACAGGATGTATTATATTCGCATTTTGCTTGAGGTAATTATTTTTATGTACTGATGGTCTTTCTGAATTGGGACTGGTAGGAGCAGGCATAGCTTTGTTTTTTCAAAACGACTTTTTTCAGTCGTTCACTGGTGTGTTTGTTATTACTATGCCTTTTGTACTGCCGACTGAGAGTTATCAGTACTGATGTAATACAAGAGTTTAAATTTTTCCTTGACATTTTTTTGCTGAGTTACTGGTTGATAGTAGCGTTTTGCATCAGATATATCAAGATAAGTTTTTTCAATTTTATTTTTGACTGCATTCAAAAGGATTATCAAATGGTTTAAATAATAATGTCACTGCTTCAGCGGGCACAAATCAGAAATTATATCAGTACTGATGTGTACTCTGCCTTGTACTGACGACTGAGAGTTATTAGTACTGATATGCTACAAGAGTTTAAAATTTTCCTTGACATATTTTTTTCCTGAGTTACTGGTTCACAGTAGCCTTTTGCGTCGGATATATCCAGATAAGTTTTTTCAAACGTATTTTGTGACTGCATTCAAAATGATTATCAAATGGTTTACATAATAATGTCACTGCTCCAGCGGGCACAAATCAGAAACTAAAAAGTAACTTTAGGTCTGATCGAGAAATTGACGATAAAGCTAAATAAGTTTT